GACTCGCTAACAACCTCTAATGCCTGTGGGATCGCTCACATATATCGAGGACGCAGACGAAATTGTAATGCAGATGATATAAAATAATCCAAATAGTCCTTACTCATGGTTTGGTGCGTGCTCCACACGTACGAAGTGTAAAGTGCTCCTGCAGGACCGGGTGGTCTGGAACCCTAAAGTCATGCCAGTTCAGCCGACCTTGGTAGCTGTATCAGCCACAGTGGTGCAGCTAGAAATGATACCTCCACCCGGGTTGGGAAGGTCACATCAGTTTTCGTGAGCCTGCGTTATTTGTGGTGTAGGCGTGACATCAGTATGCCCGTCAAGGGTCGAGCTTACAACGCTGCGGTGCGCTCCATATTACTATACGGATCATAAACTTGGCCGCTGCGCATCGCGGACGTCAAAAGACTCAGCATTTGCGTATCAGTGTCTTCGGAACATTACCCGAGTCTGGTGAGAACACCGGATCAGCAATGCTGTCAAATGGCTTTTAGAAGAAATAGTTCGCCAACGATAGGTAAGTTGATCACACTCCATAAGTTGCGCTGGCTTGGCCGCGTGCTCCGTATGTCAATTGACCGGCCTCCTCGAGCAGCCCTTCTCTCACAACAACGTGAAGGGTGGAAACAAGTCAGGGGAGGTCAAACACTCACTTGGCAGTGAAATATGAAACCATTACCAGCAAACGCAGATGCGCTGGTCATTGACATCTCCCTGGCTGGAGACCCGAAACGGGACACACCATAAATTATCAGAAATGGCCAACTCGCGCCCTCAATGGTGCTCGTGCATCGAAGACAGTTTCAGTGAACGACAGACAAAGAGGAATAATTCGAGGAGAACTTACCCACCACTGCCAACAGAGGGTAGCACCAATTCTCGCAGATTATTCGCATCACAAATTTCCAAACATTTCTCAATTACTCTTGTCAGTCGTACAACGGACTGATGAGTATCGGAACTGTTGTAGTTGGGAGAGTTGCAGTGTAGAACGTACGGGCAACCGAGGCCCATAGCGTGGGTTAACCGAACTGAAGACAGGGAAGTGAATTGTAAATGGATGACAAACAGACAGACAGGGAGAGGGGGGGAAATAGCTTGAGATATACAAGAAACAAACAATGGTCTGAGGTAGATTACCAGTCAGTGCTTGCTACCCGCAAAATCCGAAACCATTATCATACAAGAAGTAAACTAGTGATGAGAATTAGGGCTGAACTACCGTGGAGAAAGACCCTAGTGTGAAAAGAGAGGGGAGGGATGGAGACTTATTCAAAAAATATATCCTATGCTTTTAGAGGAAACATCTTTCGTGACCGCTGAGGTAAACACACTACAGCATCGTTTTTATTGTGAGGTGGTTTTGGAATTTTGGTGAAGATTTCGTCCTGCAAGTGAATCTAATCCATACTGAAAAGCCGAGAAGCTCGTTGTACAGAAGTGAACATCTTACGAAACTCCAGAGAGTCTCGAATCCGCGACCTGTCGGCTACAGTTTTGAACGCTTAACCGTTCGGGTACCTTAATGGTTCAGCTGTAGCACCCGTTCGGTGCTTAGCTGCCATTCAACTCGAAAACACCATGAAAGTGGGGATAATGTCCACGCCAAAACAAAAGTAACTGGAAAACAAGGGTTGAAATAGAACCACGGACCTTCCGGTCAGTAGTTTGACGCCCCAGCCGCTGGGCTATTCCGCGTCCCGGCGAACTGTGAAACCCAAAGGTTAGGTTGCATCCTCTTGAGAACGACAAGGAAATGGGCCCGTGACTTTGTTTGCAAGTGACTCAACCCGGCTTGGCCAACCAAAACGATATTCTTAGATTGAAATGATGGAGAAAGGTGGATACTATAGTTAGCCGGATAGTAATTTACACGAAAACGAAAGGGATAACTCTTGATCATTCTTGCGACATTCAGTTTGGGAAAATCAAAACCTTCAGGATACTCCTACCAGTCGCATTCCACCAAGCAGATGGATAAGGCTATCAGCATTTTGTCACTTTTCGTACTTTCCACACAGATAAGTACAAGCTTTTCTGGCAATAAACGCGCTAAAAAAATGTAAGAATCTCCAGCACTGATTTCAAGGACAACCACAACACAACTGTCATCACAGATGTCGGCAGTGTGGCTCACCTTCGGCTAAGTTTCTATCGAAGATCGCCACACTGCCTGTTGATTTTTCTACGGCAAAATTTTAAGAGCACTCGTGATTCTTTGTAACAATCGAAGAACCATAGGATGCATGCTGTATGTTGATTTCGGTGGGAACACGGGACCAGCAATGCTGAAGTTCGTCGAATGGTATTCGGGAAAAATAGCTAACCCTCGATAGATGAACTGATCACACTGCTTGGGTTGCGCTGGCTTGGCCACGTGCTGCGTATGCCAGTCGACCGAATTCCTCGAAGGGCTCTTTTCGCACAACCACGTGAAGGGGAGAAGAGAGCCAGAGGCGGTCGAATAATGATTTGGCAGCGAAGCATAACAGCCATTTCCAGCAAACTCAGCTGCACTGGTCACTGCTATCTTCCTGAATGGGGATCCCGAGACGGGCCATATCAATGGTTAGAGACATTGTCAGACATGGCCCAGTCGCGCCCTCAATGGCGCTCACGCATCCAAGCTATTGCCTCCAATGCATAGCTCCCTTCCCAATCTCCCCACCTACAGTGCTGTATTTACGCACCGATTTATCGTCCCCAGCCTCCAATGCGCAGCTACATACCCCACTTCCCCGAATCATCGGCGAACGAAATTGTGGCAATTACAACCACTGTTCGACAAGTACGCGGGTATTATAGCTGACAACGATGTTGCTGGTTCCGGGTCACAAAATTTCAGCTCTCTTGGGTCTCTACCCATGCAAAAGGTCAAAGCTGATCAAAACGGTCACGTTTTGTCATAGGGATGTAAAAGAATTCGCTACTTTATTCAATAGAGAGCGAGATGAAGCGTTATCAGGAAACACAAATGCCAAGGTGAAATCAACGTTCCAGAAAGTGGAAGCCAACGGGCAACAGGAACTAACCAAATCACCAATTGAATGCAAGGAACACAAACTACCGAACAACACAACTCGAAACGAACCAAATGGTTCCCAGAAAGGTTTAATCCTGCCAGCCAATCATGGCAGTAGGTAGCAGCCAGTCTTCGACGAATACATAGGGAGGAATCAACCACCGAACCGCCAACTGATGATGTCATCTAGATTGGTGAAGAAACATTCGAAAGCTCATTTCCGAGCTCGGTGAATAGATCAGCGGCAATCTGATCAACAATCATAAAAAAATATCCGTTACCAAGTACACTAAAATCACGCAACGGAAGTTATCGACGAGACAACAGGATAACGCTGCACCACATGGGTGTGTAATGTAGGTGGCTTACCATATTAACGTCCACGAATTTCGATATAATATCATGACAGATCTCTCACTTCACGAGGAACAGTGTAGCTGTGACGTGGTGAACAACCCACCCTAAATTCCAGTAAAAGAACTGTGGATCCGAGAAACACACTCATTAGCAAATCAATTTGGTTCTTACGAAAAACTCAAATGAATCCCTCGTTTACGGAAACTCGGGGACTGCGCCTACTTGATGAGCCACAAGAAAAGCAAAACCGGTCGTAGGCTGTCGAAGAGCTTTCAGCAACCTTGTGAGTAGCTTCCTTTATGAAAATATACTGCGATATCTCGAATACCGTGCCAACTGAAACATGAGGCAGTCTGTGTGCAGCAGGTTCAGTTGTAGAATATTATAAACGAGAGATTCAGTTGTCTCTTGTGAAACCAAATTGATTTGCGAAAACGAGTGCGTTTCTTGAAAACGGTCCAATTTGAGTTCAAGGAGAACATGAGGCTGACAGAAACTCGACGGCTGCGCCTACCTGATGAGCCCAAGAAGGGCGAAACCGTTAGTGGGCTGTCGAAGAGTTTTCAGCAACCTTGTGAGTAGTTTCCTTTATGAAAACTATGAAATCCATTCTTTGGATGTCCCAACAGGAATGTAACGAAGGGGTGGTAGGAAAAATCGAACATGGCATAGAGATCATTACGACGGAGTTGTTTTACGGTAAGTTTTTGTATAGCGGCAGACCAGTGGCCAACCATGGGTCTGTGTAAAGCTTCAATGTCAAAATAACGGACGACAGACGGCATTTCAACTGCTTGAATAGCTACTGCGACTCTCGAAGATAAACGACTTCAGAACAACACAATGGCTACTGGAACCAAATATTGTCATTCAAGAGTGAACCGCGTTGCTGTGAACCAAAGACAAGAACGGACTACAGAATACAAGACAAGAGTAGGATATAATGCAAAAAGAAGCAAAACAGGTGGAAATAACTTGGCTCACCACCATCAGGCTCAAGTGGACCGTGTTGATCGTAACTCTCCTGAGCAATTGAAGCCAAACCACGTCCACCAACTCGTAGGAGGGAGCTACCTGTAAACAGTCGAACGAGGGAGAAAAAGTGGAGGAAACACAACTCAGTACACAAGCATTCAGTGTCTTCTCATAAGATGGGGACACCGGAGGCACTCCATTGGCTCTGTAGACTGATTAGCATCCCAGGAAAACAAACACAACAAGTCGTTTGTCCGGTGGTCAACCCCTCAATCTAAGTGCTTGTGCCGGTCATCACACAGCATTTTCAAATTTGGGACTAGCTGTGAGTCCTCGCCCCAAAGCTGAACTTGCAATGGTCAAGAATTCAGTTCTCACGCGCTCTCCTTAGTTTGTTTGACCGCAATAATGCTCATTTACGAGGTTAAATAGAATGACATACAAAAAATTCTTTAACCTATTTTACACAATGCTGCAGTTTCGTCCAACAGTGGGAAGATGGAACGAAACCTCTGACACGTTTGACCACAGAGCAACGAGAAAGACTATGTCGGTTCTTGAAACACAGTGGTAGATATCCAGACGCGTACTGACCTCGCGCTTTAAAGTGCGAAGTCGAGTTCAGCCTGTGCAAAAGTTTGAAATGGCTCAGGGGTTAAAGCGCGAACTTACTGACCAGAAGATTCGTGGTTTGAACGAAACCATGGCATCTCGACTGATCCTGGATAACCTGGCGGAATCTCAGTCCCCGTAATTCTTTTGGATGACATGGCAGCTGGACACCGAAAGAGTGTTACACCTGACTGATTACTTTTTAATACGCTAGCAATCCGAAAAGTGTCGCAAACCTGCTGCGTCCCAAATGAGAACAATCAGCAGTGTGCATCCCACAAATTTCGGCTACACGGATGAACAGATAGCCTCGAAAAAAATGAATAAATAACCCTGACACCCTTTCCGTTTCTAACTGCCACACCGCCAGAAGTAAACACGATCGCTGAGATACTGCCAGATTGCCCTAGACTAAACAGAAGTTGTCCAGATGCTGAGGTTGGCTTCGAACCACAGACCTCCCGGTTAGTAAGTTCTCACCTTAAGAGTTGAGCAATCTCGGAACTACACTGTGACAAATCCCAGAGTGATGTTGGTGAACGAAGACGGTAGCGAAGCACTCACCAACTTGTCCGGAGAAACTCATGGAACTGTCTGTGGGATGCACAACAACATCTCCCCGAGCATTCGTAACACTCCCCCGAACAACGCACAGAGTGGTCTGTTTGGCGATAATTCTTTGAGACAAAATAGAGACAGGTGCGACCGAAGGCTTCGGCGCATTCTGAGGAGAAATTTATAAAGGATAGTACACCGACATACAGAGCTATTGGTTCGTTTTGTTTTCCCCATATTTGTTTTGGATAGCTGTAGAATACAGAGAAGAACTGAGTGAACCTACAGAGCGTCGAGAGGGCAGTGAGTGTGACGAACGCGACGTCGATGGTTTTCCCGAGAGCATCGCCTTATTGAAGCGAGGAACTACACCACTGAATGGTAGTACGATAGAGCTGAATCCCTAAAAAGGCACTGAATCGCTTCATAGAGTGACTGAACCTTCTGTAGTTCTTCATCATTGGCGATGGCCAACATGATGTTGCGTGGGGTCAGCAGCTTGCGCTTTGCTTTAATCGTCAGATCTCCGGCAAGTTCGGTAACTTCACCTGCAGATAAATGTGCCATTATTAACCTGTATGCACAAGAACCATACGTGTTAGATACTCCATCACAGCAGTAAGGTAAACACTAGCGGTTATTGAAATGCGGCGTCGTCGGAATGAATAATGCCGTTTCATGTAACGCCAGATACGTGCAACCGGGAATGTCAGTCCAGATCTCTCTGCTTTCGACCTCGTCATTGTGTTGTCTATTGGCTAGAAGATGAACAAAGAAGCTGCCACTTGGGGTTGAGGAAACCGCCATAGTTAAAATACACGTTGGCATGATATGGAAAAAACGCACTTTTTGATGGATAAATGAGCGATGCCATTAACATTCGAGTAAAGGCAAAATATAGTGCTACTCTCAACATAAACTGACATTGAAAAGTAATTTGTACACATACAAAACCCTAGTCGAACACCCCAACGTTCTGTTGCTCCCTTGCAGTCATTCCGTAAAACATATGCTAAACAGGGCAATTCGATCAGACCACAGTCACGAGGGTATGTCTAACTGCAGCGTGTGTCATGTAGTCTAATAAACATACAGCTGCATTCGATCCATAACAGTCACACCCATATGTCTATCCTTTCCAAATCCCTCGTGGTAGAAAGATAACCCTGAGACAAGGAGCATTGTTCGACTTGCTGACCTAAACCTCTAAGTTGGGATGCATGCGTTCGTTCGATAAGTAAGCTCTCATCATTTCTCTCTCTCTCTCATTTCACTGAAATCCAAGCTCTCATCATTTCTTTCTCTCTCTCTCTCATTTCACTGAAATCATCCAGTTGTAACACGCTTCGGTGCCAATCTGCCATGAAACTCAAAGGAAGAACAAAGTGTGAGATGCTGCTAGGCTAACCAAGCCTAGAGCGTCATCGAAAGCACATCAGCGTTCCACACAGTTCTTTCGCCGCAATACGATCACAATTTATTTTAAAACCTTGTTTCGAAGAAAAGAATAGAAGTGGATAGGAAAGGTATTCAGCGCTAATCTACCACAATCATTCTGAACTGCTTAAACATCCAGATATTACGGATGGAAGCTGCAAAAAAGAACGCCAGTAGTGTCGAGTTGTACTATATCTTGCAAAGCCTTCAGCCATGCACAAAGGGTGAGGGCCACACAGAACCCATCTTGAAGGCGTGTTGCACCGAAAAAAGCGACATTTCTCACAATCTATTTCGTATGTCTTTGCCAGGTCAAGGAATGACCATTTATCTGTTTGCGCTACCTCGAGGTGAGCACGGAGAACAGCACTTTTCGGCATGTACAATACGTGGCCCAAACACTGAAGCTTTTGCTACTAGACACGTTCTTCGATTGAAGTCCCCGTTGCACAACGAAACACTCGTTTTCTAATTGTCCCGTTGCGTACTCGTCAACACCAGTCTACATCAGCTGTGGTTCTGAGACAACGGCTGTCGAAGATTTGAAGACATTTCAGTTCTGCTGCCCGAGCAAGCCGTCTCCGAATTGGGCAAAACGCTTCACAACATCGAGTGCTTCTCACCGGATTGTATGTACTGTATTTAGTGAATGCATACCCAGAAGCATGACTTTACACTTTGTGGGTGGGAAGTGCATGCCAGTCAGTAATTCTGCCACCGAGGAATATTTGTTTGACAGCACATTGCGTCTTAGCCACCGAGGAATATTTGTTTGACAGCACATTGTGTACGGAAGCTTTTCCAGAGACCCCCATACATCTCCGAACGACCGAAAGTCTGATAATACAAATAACATTATACTCACACGCTTCTGATATATTCTCTTGGGTTTTCCCACTTCAAATCAGGCGGAGATAACAGTAGTCCCGCATGATAATAAGATAATCGTCCAGCTGCGGCACTTTTTCGGTGCCTAGTCGACAGGGGAGAGATGGCTCAGTTGTTAGAGCGCAAACCTACTGAGGGTCCGTGACTCGAACCCGACCTTTGCACCTCGACCTTCCCTATCAAGGTTTGGCAAACCTGGTAGTATCCCAACCATCTTGCTTCCTTCGGGTGGCATGGCAGCTAGGCACCGAAAGGGTGCTACAGCTAAACAGAAGTCGAGATGCAGAAGTCGGGTTCAAACCACGAACCTCTCGGCAGTAAATATGCGCTCTAAACAATGAGCCATCTCGTCTCGACATGGAAGCCACATGGCCCAACCGCGTCAGCTCGCAATGTTGGATGCATTCTTTGAATGAAGTACCGTCTACTCCTGAACAAATTCGTTGGTGCTAGGCGACTCCAGCTATAAGTTCCGAGGTGCCAATGGTCAGAGAACTGATGACGTTTCAGATCCTCCACCCGAAGTGGTTATGTTTTGCGGCTGTACATAAATACAGTCCGCAGTGTGATCTAATGTATGCGTTCTTTGAGATCCTTTTGACGCCAAAAGTGGTGGAAGCTGGCAAAAGCAATTCTGGCCTTCGTTATTCATGCGTTCAATCGGTCTGTCACATTACCATCAGAGCTAATATAACTTATGATACGTGTAAGACGTTCCACCCTTTCGGGTAGCACTCTTTTGTTGCCTACCTGCCATGTCACCGGACGGAGGCGCGAAAGCTGGTATACTGCCGAGTTGCCCAAGCCTAAACAGGAGCAGCTGAGATGTTGGCGCCTTAACCACTGAGTTACCTCAAGCACAAGGTGTGCCGAAACTTACAGCGTCAATCGTTAAATCCATAGAGAAACGTTAGAAAACTTACGTCCTGCCGCAGGACCTTGCATTTTGCGGACACGAAGCACAAACCTAAGTACTAGGTGACTTTTGTCAACTTTACTGGTGTTATTTGCGCTTTCCGCTTTCCTTTAAAAGTGAGGAGAATGTCGTCCGCCCATTATTTGACCCTGGAAAGGGAAAACAGAAGCGACTCCGGGCGACTGCAGGGTATCAACATAAGTGCGCCGAAACGAATGACAGTTATTGATCCGCATCAAAGGTAACTGATGACGATGTAATCAATTTCGGTCCGTGTCTGGAGGACATCAAGTGACTTCGCTTATTTCGAAAAGTTCGCATACAACTGAAGCGGTTATTCGCACCTGTTGACTGAACACACTCTAACAAGTCTTCAACGCGTTAAGTCTGTCCACTTGTGCATTCAAGTCTCCGGCAACCATGACGATATCTGAGCTTTCGGCAGTCAATGAGTCGTAAAAAACCTATCCTGGATGTTGTCAGAGCTAATCGGTTAGGGTATATGCAGATACGACTAACAGACAATGATGGTTTTCCCACTTGTGAGACTAATTCACGGACGCTGCAAAACTAACTGCACAAAGGCGACTATCAAAGGGCATCCGATCAAGCAAGGATCCTCTAGTCCGTTGAATTAAGGCTATACCGACACGTGCATATCATGCTGTAATGGTCTCTGGATCACCAGAATCATCATCAGAGACAGAAACATCTGTGCTGACACTGATGCCTCACTGTCGTACAACCAAAATCTATCAAATTATATTTAAAACCATAAAATAACAAAACAAAGGGTGGAGGGGACCTGGTGATGACTTATCGCAAGAATTTCGAGGTGCTTACACATTAAAGGGCTCAGTCAGACAATCTGGAAAGAAACTGACAACACGAACTCAACTGACATCAGCGAGTCGCTATTAGTTGCCACGTTTGCAGCCAAGTGCAGGAGTGGTCACGGGGACCTCTTCATGAAAGGCGTACTGCACCAACAACCCCTTACGTATTCGTAATCTTTCACACCTTTCTTTCAAGTCCAATTCGCGGTTTCCGCAGTTCTGAGGGAAGTACAGAGAACAACACTCGTCTCGGTCGATGTTTTTTCGTAGGACATGGCTAATTCACCGTAGTTGATCGGCTAGATGTTTTCCGCCATTGTAGTGCCTACTGCACAACCTCCTTACGAATTCGTTAAAGTCATCCCACAACAGTAACACTTCTGAGGCATCGGTGGTCCAAAACCTGAAGACGCCTCATGCCCGCAGACATGTTTCGTAACTATACAACACAGCCCTGGCCGCAGCATGGTAAACGCGACACTTGAGACCCACTGATATGCCGTTTC